ATCGAAATCTTTGATTAGGCAAAAGGATAAAAATATTGATTTGTAGATGTGTATTATGAGAAATTTATTATTTCATTAAAAATTTTCTTGATTATAAGTAGCCATTATAATTTAACGACTACTTATTTGATATGCTTGTTTCAGATAATTACATAAACTATTTTTTCAAAATGAACATACATAGATATTTACAAAATAATATAAAAAACATCAATTTAAAGATTATAAGTAGATAAGATAGAAAAAGTACGATTAAAGTCTTAATTAATTAAAAATAAAAAGTGAGCATAGATTGAATGGCACACGGCATCCCTAACACTGTTGGTAAAAGCTCTCGAGCACACAAACACGCGCACGCCCGCACGATAGCAAAAGAGCTTTCTCTCCATCGTTGCATCTAAAAGCAAGCTGGGCGCTATTTATTTAATGCGGAAGTATACAAACAGCTGCGACCGAAATATCATCTCTTTACTCCTGCTTCTACGTTCGTGACAAGGGTTAAAGGCCTGATACGCGATAGAGGGAGGGAAAAGAGGTCTTGCAAGCGAGGTGAGGGGGCCGATGTTGTTACCGCTTATTTACTGTGGAATGCAAAGAGACGGTATCTCTGTCGCGAGGTAGCGTAAAATACAAGGGCCGTTACGTAAGAGAAGATATCGTGCCTCGCAGCGACCGAACACACCTACACGCCTCTCTCTCTCTCTCTCTCTCTCTCTCTCTATATGTATATATATATGTAATTTATACGTGAATACTACCTATATGCTAGTTCGAGCTTTATTCGAACGAGCGTGCTCTCCAAGCCAAGTTCGTGTTATGAAATCGTTCGTCGCTTGATAATTCGATTTGGAGAAATTATTGGAAGAGCGCCACCCAGAGCCTGAGGCGCAAGCACTCGACTACGTCTTATCGAAGGAACCTCTCTCTCTCTCTCTCTTTTGCACATGTATATGAGTGCACATGTCTACTGACGCCATTGGCTCCGGAATTGCTTTTGTTTTTTTTCATCTTCCTTTATTCTTTTTTTCTCTCAGCTACTTTTCAAAGGGGTGTGTCTGATAAAAGCTTTCTCTTTTTTTACACTTTTTTTTTTATAATAGAAACGCCTGCGTTTCTACGTTTTCTCGTTATTTGATACCGGTCGAGGCGACCAACTGATAAAAGCATGCTGACTCTGTATTGATTATTTTGTTATTTACATCTTACAGTATTCCTATTATTAAATTTAAAAAATTTAGAAATGTTTATTCAAAACGTATTCTATAGTACTTATTTATTCAATAATTTATTTATGAATACTTAGTCTATGACTCGTGATAGTATAAAAAACGAATTTCTTTTTTTGTGAGACGGTAAAAATAATCCCTTTGCAGAGTGTACTAAAGGCAGCAAGAGTTCCAAATAAAAAAGTCGCGCAAACTTGCAAAAGATTATTCGAAGTACTGTAGTTTGCTTTTTTGTACAATGCGCACACAGACCAGACGTATATAGCTCGCTCATCGAAAAAACAATGAAAAAGAGGGAAAAATCAGATGGTCACTGCTGTATCTGATTGTCTGCGACTATTGAATCGGGATCTGGTGTTATTTGCTGGCTCTCCGTTGGTCGTTCCGAAGTTGACCCCGTGTAAAAGTATTTACATATATAGACACATATACACATGGGCTATTGTGCTTTTCGTATACTATACACTATATAAAATCGCCAAGGGATTCGGTCCTACGACAATTCTCCAAGTTCCGTAATCCTGCCGCGACCTCGACAATCCTTCGGGTCGAAGGGGATTTCGATCTCTGGAAGACTTCACGTTTCTCGCGGGCGAAGAATGTGCCTTGTACCTATTAAGCCACCGTCCATTGGAATTTGAGACTGAATGCCTTTTGCCCACGAAATATCGAGCAAACCGACATAAAATTAGAAGTACGTCGTGACATTCATGCCTCTGATCCATGATTGAATACAATATCTTGTGTATTATACCTTTCAACTTCAATAGAACACGTATCCATATCCGTTTAATTAAATTAGATAATAGAATACAATTTCGCTAAAAATTATTAAGTTGCTCGATGCCACGGTGTTCATACATAATCGAACAAAGTTCCTAGAATTGTTGAAATAACGGAATGAAAGAGTAATCAATGTGACTTCAAATCGATTAACGTTGGAAAAGTCAGCGAGGACGATTAAAAGAGCCAGATAGAGCCATCTACACAAAAGTGGCGATTAAAGAGCAGAGGATACGGGAGAGAAGTAGATAGAAGGACTGGACTATGAAGCGCGTCAACTGGCGAGAGAGCGAGCGATGTGTGCACAGACGGTAGGCCGCACGAGTGGGCGCGCGATACAATGAAGGTCGTGCGCATCGCCGGGCACAGTGGCATAAATGTTTGATAACGCGGAGCGATAGGAACGCGGGGACGAGCAGCCGAGGTAGCAGCAGCAGCAGCAGCAGTTGCCTGTCGATGCGCTTGCCAGAGAAAGAGAGCGAACGCGGCCGTGCGCGTATACACGTACGCGCACACAATATGCAGATAACGCAAGCGTCAATGTTGGCGCTGAACGCGCGTATACTACTACCTGCACGCTCGTAGGTATGTTGTAATTAGAGGATGCGCCTCTATGCCGATGTGGCTTTCGGATATTTTGCTAATTACCCGATACTTCGATCTACCAGCTCGGATAAAGCCAGTGTCTGATGCTACTGAGAATATATTAAAGCGAAAAATTGAGTAAAATAGATGTGATAGAGGTTATATCGGCTGAGGTATACATCAGCCTAATTTTAAATGAAGCTGCAATAGTAATTTGGGTCACTAACTAGAAACACACTTTTACAAACATTTTTTATCGTATTCTTATTTGTTCTTGCATCTTATGTTAGTATTTTAACCATTTTTACAGATTGGAATTAATAAATAGTTATTTTGACAAACTAGTTTCTCTCTCCAGTCAATTCGCGAAGCTCAATTTTACTATTTAATAATCCATTAACCAAATTGCAAATTAGGATAATTGGTGGAGAGATAAGTTGCGGCATCTTTGAAATTTAATTACACACCATAATTAGATATAACGAGGCACGATCAAAACGCCATAGCTCATTGTGCCAGACTCTGATTAACGTGCATTCTACACTGTGTAGTTCCCCTACCCAGCTCATCTATAATTCTTACATGTAATAGATTTTCTTCATTAAAACATGTATTCCAATATTCAAGTAAATTTCAAACAACACTTTTGCAATTTCATGTTTTTTAAATCCTTTGACAATTTTCCCTTTTGAATATCACTTTTTATGGTCACATTTGTTGCGAAAAATTTCTTTGTGATTTGGCTTTTGATAAATTTAAAATTGAATCTGTCGCACACGAATACCATATATTAAATTATATGAAATATGTACTTTTGAAATTTTATTTATCTTTATTGGGGCTGATTTATAATCGTCAAATATATGGATAAGTGTAACAGATGAAATAATTTGATTGTAACGTTTTATATTATATATTACGTTAATTTTATACGTTAGTTTATAAACGTTTTGCAGTTACTTATTGATGTAGCAATACTAGTTTCTAGAGTAATTGATGTAAAATTGTCTAGGAAAGCATTGTAAAAATAATACGAAATATAATGACTAATCAGAAAAGAAATCAGAAGACATTTCTTTGATGGTTAAAATTAAAAATACTTCAATCAAATTAAATACAATATTTTACAGTTTCATAACTGGAAATCTAAAGAAGAAAAATATTACCGAAGTTCAAGTTGTAAAATTGCAATACTACAGTTAAGTTTTATTTCATACGTATTTCAAAAATGTGATAGTAAAACGAACTCTTAAAAAACTTCAAGTTTGTATTGAACCATGTATATAATAGAATGAGTTTAATTAATTATTTCAAATATGTTTTTTAAGTAAAAAGGGAATCTTTCTTTTCCTAATTTACAGCTTATACTGATGTTTGGGGACACAAAGTTAGTAAATACTCTTAAAAAGTGAAACTGTTAAATTTTCGCGTTAGATAGAAATAATAATTTAGTGCAATTTATCCTACAAGATATTGTCATTTCAGATTATAAACTAGTTTAGCAGCTACAATTTTTATGTGATTAGCTTAATAAATTAGAATAATTTTAAGAAACAAAATTTTAGTTCATTCCTTAGTTTAGTTCACTCTTTCATTAAACATTATTTGTAATTTAATAAATAACTTTGTAATTCGATACTTTAAAAATTACAAAAGTAGTGCTAAACACGTTGAAAAATTTTAAATAGAAATTTTTAATTTTCTTTAAGAAAGTAATTGAGTAAGCGCAGGCCAAGAATTTAATATTTGATATGGAAAAGTATTAAACCACTGCGTCACTATTACGTGTCGGAGATGATGAAATTTTCAGACGTATTTTTAAACATCATAACTGGTAAAGCAGAGACGAGCCAGGAATAGGAAATTTCACCGGGATACGGCAATGGAGTCAACGGTTCTAGTCGTAAGTTTAATAATAAGTTTCCCCCTACAATTCGCGCATTTAATTCGATATTCAGCAGTGCGTATAGCACCCCATAAAGCTTTTCTCCAGAGCGATGAAGCTTTTGAGTGAATTTGTTAAAATTCTTTGCCGATAAAAAAAATATATAGCAACGCAGGAAATGCTGCCTACGCCGACTTTATAAGTGGAACGAGAAAGAGAAAGAGCGAACTGGAACGTCGCGCTTCTCAAGCGTTTGAGAGTGAAAAATATACATTTTTTTCGAATATCATTTAACTTGAATAAAGAGAAATGTTGAGCAACCTCTTCAAATCATTAATTTCACACGTGACCAACCTTAGAATATACTTATAAGCATTGCTCATAGATTATACAAGAATTCCGAATAGATTTAACTTGTTAAAAAGCAAAATTTTTTAAAAATCAAAAAATTTAAAACTTCTATCAATCTTTCAGTTATTTCATGGCGTCATTAGGTAATAATAAGATCTAAAAATACTTACGAATAAAGAGGACGTGCTGAGCCATCTTTGAACCAGAAGACCATATCGAGAGTGTCGTGTACAGGCGCCGTAATATTGCAAGGTAGCTCGACAGGTCTGCCTTCGACCACACTGATGTTAACTAGGGGTACTGAAAGAGCAAAAAAATATTCATTAAAATATATGCTGTAATCTATAATTCCAGTTTCTAATATAAATATAATATCTAATATAAACAAATTTGAAAATACCGTTTTAAATTATTTATGAACTGATATAATTAATTTAAGTCATAAGACGGTAAAATCGATTATTATCATTAAAAAAAGTTTATAGTATATTTCAATATTAGATTGGCATAATAAAACTGTATTAAATTGACGCAGAATTGAATACAAAGTGTGCTTTACAAAAAAATCGAAGCTACAAATATTTTGCAAGCGAGCATCCAATTCCAAATTTTCCGGTGTGAGCGCTAACGAGTTTCATTATAATTCATTTCTATCTCATCGCTGACGACAATAAATTTGACATCCTTCTCTTTCCCTCTCTCTCTCTCTCTCTCTCTCTCGCACTCTTTCGCGCTCTGACTTATATACATGCATGTGTATACTAGGTGTCTTTTCACTCGCTTGGCGCTTTTACGAGGCTGACGCTGGACGGGCAGTTTAATTTTCATCAAGCCCGAGGGTCGCGATTAAAGCAACGAATGTACCCGAATGAACTGAATTAACTCGGTGGCAGAGCTACGAGTTCTGTGCTATTACTCTCCGTACAGTTGGATACTAGGAGAGTACGGTGCGCGCGTGCGTGAGAGAAAATCGAGGAAAGAGTATCGTTGAAGCGAACAGCTTGCGATGTAACAGGCAAGGGATAAAGAGAAAGAGAGAGGAACGAGGAGTCTGAGTTTTTAGTTTGGGGCCGAGAGATCAAACGACTTGCTGCATCTATGAATGCATAATTTATAGTTTCATTTTTGCACGTATGTCTGTAACAACCAACGTACAAAAGCTCCCACATCTACACTTTTTATCTATTTTTTGTGGCCAGTATTCCGTTTGCTAGGCTACACATTAAAAGTAGTATGAGCCTTAAAAAGATTGACATCAGTTCAGTGCATATTTTTTTTCTAATCTTACAATTATTATACTATTTTGATTGATAATGAACTTTACTCATAATAAAAACAAGTGGTAAAAACAAATAATAATGTGATAAGTATGATAAGGTTCCGTACGATGTTGTATATGACAGTGATCGATCGGTTACGTAAATGATAGAGACTCATTCATCGGTTCACATTTGAGCTTATTTGGAGAGTAAACATATTTGCTTGAATATTTTTCATGCTGAATGCGGGTGTAGGATTGTATTTATAGATAGCCGGAAATATCGCGGACTTATTTAATAATTATAACCGGATAATGGAACGTTTTGTCCTATCTTCTCTGCACGTTAGACTCATACGCATGGCTATGACGAGCATACATTGCCATGGACGCAGACATAGCAATAAATTTAAATGTTCTTTATTTTCGTGATTCACGAAGAAAACTCGTTCGGTTATCAAGGCGACACGCTGATTTCTCCGAGATCTTGCACGAGAAAAATAAATGCGCGTTGTTGAATTTTCCCTTTTTCACGAGCTATACCATCGCAAAAGCCGTAGACGTAGCCTTCGCGGGTCCGTTTGTGTCGCTTTATTGCACATGGCCGTTTTGGCTTTTTTACCCATTTTTATAATTCAATAATGGTCTATAACAAATATTGAACTAAATTAGGAAAGATTCAACAAGTGGGAACAGAAATAGTCTCAGCGTAAGAAAACTACGAAGAGAAGTATTACCAAGTGGACGGCAACATCTCGTTTTCCTCTTCCCTTTTTTTTCTCGCTCGAACATTTAACCGTAAATTAGAATAGTTTTTTGTGGAACTATTTGCTCGGTCGCTACTTCCTCTCCTCTCCATCAACCAAGTCAATGATTTCTTTATCTTTATTATTCCACGTCGTTAGACAAAAATATGACGTGACTGCTTAGCTGATTAAGTAAAATTATTTACTGGCTCAGGTCCCTCTCTTACCTTCACCTTAACCTCCATTTATGCGATTTTCTTGTGTAATTAATGCGTAAATGTGTTTTGTAATTATTCTATTGATTTTCACTTGAATTTTCTTCTTCGCATGTAATAAAATAAACTTAGATGCGTTTGACCAACATTATTTACTTTACATATTGTGGTTGTTTCTATAAGTTCTCAATTTGATTAGTCTTTCGTTATACTTGCTATTGTTTTTCTTATTATTAACTTAACCAAAATTGTTTGTGATTTGCGATATATTTCTGTCATTGACATTGCCAATTTGTAGTATTTTTGATAAATAAAAATCAAACGGCGAGATGCCCTCTACTATAAGCTGTAAGAAAGGACACTCAAAAATTCTCGAACATCATGGAAGTCTATAGGCTTTCTCTCCGTCAAGCTCGTCAAGAAGAGCTTGCGACGGGAAATTTTCACACTCATCAAGCGAAGATTTCGCGAAAGACTGCCTGGCGGGGCATGGCCCTACTTAATATTATGCAGATTGAGGCATTAGTGTGAAAAATCTTGTGCAAGGCTCCTCCTCCGCTACTCGCTCATTCCCCTCGCCTGGACACCTGATAGCCGAGTAATTAGACGCTTTACGATACTGTTCAAGTGTACGGAGCAAAAGGGCTGCAGCGGTTACGCGATGAAACTTGATATTGGTAATAAAGCCCAAGCATTATCGTAAATTTGTGTTTCAATCTCGGTTACGCCAACCCGCATGCCGTGGTTCTCGATGGGAGAGAAAAAAAAGAAATAACAGCTATGAGCCTGGTAGGTCTCTACCTTAACGATTGTTTAGTTTTTCGAAAAGCTTGTATAGGGCTCTTCGATCGGCTATTTTGTCTTGATAGCTAGCTTCTGCTCGCCTAATGAAATATCCTTGGGTATTATATTTATCGGCTTACAGGATACTATTAAATTATGGTTAGAGTATCTTGTTTCAGGGTTGCGTAAAAAATTTATATGAATATTATAAATCTGTGTTATTAGAATTCTCTCCAAACTCACGCCACGTAATAAGAATTTCAACCGATAAATATTTTAATGAAACTGACATTACTAATTATTTTCAATCGTATGCAAATGCAAGATTAATCCTTCAGACGTGAAAAAACTCACGGGAAAAAAATATAGCAAAAAGCTAGAAGACCAAAGAAAAAATCCAGAAAAGCGTAAATAAAACCAGCGATTTTCACGTACCAGCGCGTACTGGGGTTCTTTTTTCTTGTTCGTGTATTCTTCCGCGCACGACTGAACGCGCCATTGGCTTGGAATGTCTTATTAAGCAAATTAGCAGTTTTAATTTACACGGCTGCACAACGGTCTAGCGTACGCGGTTATACGTGCACACTTTTGCACCATATCGCAGTTCGCACATAATACATAGAAAGTAGGCGGCAGCTCTCTCGGTACTTTAGTCGAAAAGCAGAATAAAAAAAAAGAGAAATAAATGTAGGCTGGAGGAATGAGAAGGAGCTACTAGGTATATTTTTCATAAGTAAAAACTGCAAAATATGCGCGCACTCGCACGCCCCAACAGGTTTCCGGATAGTTAAACTGCGTCCCTCGGGGCCAACTCTATGTATATGTCATTGTCCACACGCCTCGTTCGCCCTCTCTTTCGCATATATACACGCATATCCTTTTCCTGTTCTCGTTTTTCTGTAGAAGACTTGTTCCAAGTATGTTATATTTAATTGAAGTCTGTCGCAGCTAAATTTTGTGTGTTGGCAACTTTGAAAATAAATTTTTAAAGTAGGCCAACTCGGTCAAACGATGTTAAAAAAATTGGATTTTATATTTTCAAAGGACGTAAGACTTTGCAAACGTTTTCGTTTGGTTGGCTCGTTTGCCCATTGACCATTTCATTCATTTCATTAAAAACGAAGTCATTTTTCAGATAAAATATAATTTTCCTAGAAGCGAAATATTTTGAAAAATACATAGGCGAAGATTTGAAAATGCAAGTTAAAAGGTGGTTTTACGAACGACATTCCATGCACTATAAAATAATCTAAAAATCGCCAAACCTGGGGATGCTTACGCTGCAAGTATCAGTAAATTTTGAATGCACTGATTAGGAAAATAGATATCAGGAGAACGAAAGTACGGTAATCACAAAATGATATCATCATCGTAAATGAACAGGAAAAAAGCAAAGGAAAAAAATCTGGCTCTGGAAACAAGCTCACAACGCGCTAATGAGTTTCCGCGAGAAAGCAGGTAATTAGCATATTTTTTAAGCGGTACGGCGCAGGATACAAAAAAAGCTAAAATATGCGTAGCATAAAAAGCGAGTGTCTTGGTGGAAGGAGGGAGTATGGTTAGACGATAAAGAAGTGTCGGCTCTTTATAATTCATATTAATGTTGGTGTAGTGTAGCGTTGCACAGTCGCGGATCCATACAGCGGCGGCGGCGACGCTGCTGCTGCTACTGCTGCTGTTGCTGCTGCTGCTGCTCGCAGACGGAATAGCCGTCGGAGAAAAAGAGGGCTGCTGCTGCATTGTGACCGCACGACACTGAATTACTGACGGCGGAAGGGCGGCCGCTTCCGCTTGTAATATAGTTTGCAGGCACAATGCAGGCACAATGGCCGCCTTTGGCCAAGGATCAAAGTAGCCGTCTAAACGCGAGGATGGCCTCCTCCGTGCCCAAGTGACGAATGAGCTTTGCGCTTCCGGCTTATCCTGCGCCCTGGCGTCTGTGTGTGCGTGCCTCTGCCACAGTGTCAGTGCGCGTCAGGACGGCGCGCGGCTCATTGAATTGCCTGCTAATTCGAGCGGATTATGTACAAAGGCAGCTGCTTTTACACTCGGGATTTTCCAAGCCAATTAGCAGATTTTATGCAGGGTCACGATTGTTCATTTCGCTGGAACGGAGCCTGTTGCCCAGATTTGTAAACTCGCGGTGGTGACTGTGTGGCTGTCTGCCTGGCTTTCCGCGCTGATTGATTTGTAGCTTATTCGTGGTTTGTTGCGTTCTCTCGTTATTTCATTTTCATTCTGCTTTGGCGGTTAGTCAAACTTCTACTTTCATCCTTTTTTTTATTTAACATCTATTTC